ATGTCACACAGGCTGTCACACAGGCATGTCACACAGGATGTCACACAGGATGTCACACAGGCTGTCACACAGGCATGTCACACAGGATGTCACACAGGATGTCACACAGGATGTCACACAAGCATGTCACACAGGGTGTCACACAGGCTGTCACATAGGCTGTCACACTGGCAGGTGCATCTGAGAGGCCTCTCTGCACCTTCCTAGATGCATGGGGCCCTGATTCTTCCTGTTTTAAATCCCTTAACCTCCTCAGCTCTTCTTGGGCATATCAGGAACTGTGGCTGGCTCTGAAACTTTCATAATTGTTTTGAGTTTGGAGTGTTCGAGATACAATGTTGCAAATATAGTCACTGCATAAAATAAGTCAATGCATACTTATTAGAAAGGAAGAATCAAATCAGTTGCTATAACTTGGACATCAGGTCTGTTCCCAGTGAGTCCTTTAGACAGTGCACTGGAAATTCTGACATGGAATTGCTGATTGGTGGCACCCTACCCTTGGCTGCTCCAACTTCTAGTAATCCTTATCATTTGATCCAGCATCCTGGAAACACCCTGAAAACCTGACTCTTTTTTTTTCTCCTTCAGTTTGAGGCTTAGGCCAGTGGCTCCTCGCTGCCCCTCCCCACCAGAGTAAGGTGTCTGTGTCGTGTCCTCCCCCCAGCCCCCCAAGCAAACTGAACCCTAAGGCCAAGAGCTTGGTGACGATGAGGCTATGAGTCACCAAACAAACACACCCAGCTGTCTCGGATCTGCAATTTCCACTGCAAGACCTGTTTCAGACCCACGGGCGGGCGGCTAAAGCCACCCCGCCTTCCCCCACCCTCGCAGTCCTGGCTGGAGCCGAAGTCGATCAGTCAACAGTTCATTAGTTATTTCAGCACCTATTAAGTAACTGCTAGTTCCAGACCTCATGCTAGGGGCTGGAGACGGGAGTCCGCAGGCAGCAGCCCATTCTCAGAACTTCTGGTGAGGAAGGGCAGGGCTGCTCACCGATAATAAGCATGGTAACCGTTTCCCAAGCCCTAGGTGTTCGGGGCTTGTAGGGAAAACGCATGCAGCAATCTTCACAAAGGAACCTGTCACCTTGGTTCTGGAGGTCGGCCCAGTTTAGGGGTGGGACACGAAGGCTCTGGAACTTGGATGCAGCTCATGTAGTTGGCTGGGAGAGGGGTCTAAGTGGGCCTTCCCGCTCCTCCTCCTCCTCCTCAGTCATTTTGCAACCAGGCTAAAGACAAGCTGGGAACAAGGAGGGAGGGGCGGGGACTCTGCTGGGGTCTGGAGGCTGGAGCCTGGCAGTGCTAGGTCTGCCCTGAGGCGAGAGCCGCTTTCACAGACCTGTCCTCTTCTCCCAGGTTGTCTGGAGATGGAACGGGCCCTGTGAACATCTGTAAGTTCTCCACTACCCCCTGAACTGTGTAGACAGCTGGCTTTCTAGCATGGTAGACTGGCCCAAGGGCCCTGGCTGGTGGAGTTGGGAGCTTCCCATCCACACACAGTTCTGGCAGGTTCCATGGAACTCATATCCACCCAGCTCAGTGGCCCAGAACAAGGAGGCAGGGGTGGGGGTAGGGGGAAGCCAGGGGAAGGAAGGCTTTGAGCTCCTGTGGTGAAGACCCCCGCCACTGTCAGAAGTTAGGTTGGGGGAGGGCTGCTTGGGAGGGGAGGCAGGAGAGGAGAGGGGCAGCTGTGTCCCGAAGGTGTGTTGGGGAAGGGTGGGTTCTCTGGGTAGGGGAGTGAGCACTAATCAGACCTCTTCCTCTTCCAGCTGTAGTGAATTCCACGGGGGGCAGTGGCAGCAGACTCCTCTTCGGGGGAACCATGGGCAGCAACGCTCTGAGCTTCACAAGCAGTGGGGGACCCGGGGCGCTCAAGGCCTACAACATCAGGACCACATCTACCACCCGCAGGGGCCCCCACAACTGAGCTCGTATCGCCAAGCTTGTGGGCTTGGAGAGTCCCTGTACCCCTTGGCCCACACACAGGAGGACCCCTCCTGCACCATGTCCCTGCCCTGAGACCGGAAGACGGCTTGAAACTGCTGCTGGTTTGAATAAAGTTCCTCTCTGAGTGAGCGTCACTGGCTAGCCGGGAATGATGTGCACAGGGGACAGAGACTCGGGATTGGGGTTCTAAGGTGCTGAACCCCTACCAGGGTGCTACCTTGGCCCCTGTCCAGGCCGGGGCTGGTTCCAGCGCCTCTCCCAAGGGCATTCAAGAAGACCACAGCGAAGAGGTGGCAACAAGTGGGTGCTGAAGCCCTTTCCTACTCGGGGAGGGTCTGCTTGCACCCCATGCCCTCTGCTGCTAGCCTATGGTCTTCTTGCACACACATTCAGCTGTCCCAGGCTCTGGACTTTGACGGCCCAGCAAACTCCAAGACACCCATCCTCAGCTATTCCTGGGACCTAGGACTACGTGTTCTGATACTTACAAGGGGGTCCTTTGCAACTGAGGTTCTCTGGGAGTGACAGAGGGAGATCTGGTATAACAGGGGTCTTGGAGCCCAGGTTGTGGGTAGAGAGCCTGTGCCTAGATCCTTGGATGAAGGAATGGCTGTGTCTAGATACCTAGGGAGGGGGGAACCTCTGCATTGGAGCCTCCAAATGTCTGGGTCTCTGCTGTGGAGGTTCACGTGTCTATGTATTGAGGGTTTTATCCCAGGACAGAGTGCATGGGAGGGGTACTGAGGAGCTGATTGAAAGTCTCCAAGAGTGTTGGTCCACAGGGCAGGGGTGGAAGCAGTGTAAGGTGGTTATAAAGATCTACAAGTAAGCATCATTGGCTAGCCAGGAGTGGGTGGGCATAGGGAACAGAGGATGGGGACCATCATCAAGGATGTGTTGACTTCTGAAGAGTCTATGTATTGGACCCCATGGGAATGGAATTTTGAACCTGGGCATGGTGTGGAGCAGGGCATGGAGGATGTGGACCACTGGTGTCTTAGCAGCTCCTAGTGGTGAGGTCCTCCTCATCCAGGGTGTTGGTAGGGTAGAGTCTGTCCCTCGGTGCCTTTGTGGTTCTGTGTGATTGGGTTTGGGGCTACCAGCTCATCCCCTGCTCCTTGAACATTATCCTGTGCAGAGGGGGTGGTATCCAGAGACAACCCTCCTCCCTCCCTGGCTCACAGCCCCGAAACAGGAAACCTGGGCAGTGGAGCCAAGTGGGAGGAGTGGTTATCGGAGCGCACCGTGCGTGAGTGGGGCTTTATTAGGAGCGCACCATGTGTGAGTGGGGCTTTATTAGGAGCGCACCATGTGTGAGTGGGGCTTTATTAGGAGGGCAGAGCTCAAGCACAGGAAACAGAGGGGACCCAGGCAGTGGAATTGGCCCCTGGGAAGCTGGAATACAGTCTGTCGTCACACACAGCTAAAATTGGATGAAAGGGGTAGGGTGCACAAGAGTCCCGGGGCCACTTTGTCACACAGAAGCCCAAAGTGTCCAAGACCCCAGGGCATCCTCCCTCAGAACTGGGCCTTTATCAAGAAGGGTGAAGAAACCATTGAGATACAGTCTCCGTCATCTGCCCTGATCTCAACATCCCTATCTTCCAGAATCCTATGGAACAGCCCACTGAGCTCTCAACAATCAGTGGCTTTTCTAGTCCAAAGTTCCAAAGACCTTCTACAATCCTCCACAAAACAACTTGGTCAGGTCTGTCACAGCAATGCCCCATTGTCCTGGTACCAACGTCTGTCCAAGTCAGGGTCACCATTGCTGTGACAAAACACCATGGCCAAAGCAATTTGGGGAGCAAAGGGTTTGTTTGGCTTATGCTTCCACATCATAGTCCACCATTGAAGGAAGTCAGGACAGGAACCTGGAGGCAGGAGCTGATGCAGAGCCCATGGAGGGTGCTGCTTACTGGCTTGCTCCCCATGACTTGCTCAGCCTGCTTTCTTATAGAACCCAGGACCACCAGCCTAGGGATGGCCCCACCCACAATGTGTTAGGCTCTCACCCACCAATCACTAATCAAGAAAATGCCCTCTAGGCTTGCCTACATCACAGCCATATGAGGCATTGTATCAGTGGAGGCTCCCTCCTTTTAGATGACTTTATCTTGTGTCAAGTGGACATAAAACTAGCCAGCACACCCTGTCTCAAAAGACAATGTGGAGAGTATACAAGGAAGACACTTGTCTTTGACCTCTGTTCATTATACACACCACAAACATACACATACACTACATTCACGTACACATGCACACATATGTACACACACAAACATGCACACATATACTACACATACATATGCATGTGCACACACACATATACCTTTTTTTTCTAATAAAAAGTCTATAAGTGAACTTGGGTGGCCCCTGTCGCCTTGCTCAGGGAACACAGCTCTTGTTAGAAGAAGGCTACGTGAGCCCCAGAGTCCTGTGGTCCCAAGAGTTGATGCTGTGTCTTTGCTGCACACAAACATGGAAATATTAAAGGGCTTACTCATGTCCTCAAAACTCTGACCTTTTCACTAGTCAGTGTGTGGTGGCACAGTTCGGGGTCTAAGATTACGTAGCTCAGGTTTGTTTAGCCTGTATCCTTGTTGAGATCAAGTTATTTTCTCCAGCATGGACTCACTTCAGCTTCCCAGGAGCACAGGATGTGGCAGAGCTGGAAAGGCTACCCTGCCATCTCAAGCCCTGCTGGGGCCCAGAACACAGAGGCTGCTTCTTGCCACAGACGTCACCGAGACCTGGCAGTCGTCAGCCCCATTGCCATCGCCTGACATTTTAGCCTCTGAAATTCGGTTTCCTTGTAGATGAATGATGTGTCTTAAGTGATGTAGTGATCACAGATGTGGTCAGGGTCCAGGGAGTCGGGATGAAGAAAGGGAAGGCTTACAGGAGCCTGTCTGGGGTCACCTGGCAAACCTCAAATGAGCAGCCAGCATTCTCCAGCTAGCTCATAATCCTTCGGGCTTGAAGTTAGGAACCAGCAGAGTGACTCAGGTCTCACCTTCTACCAATGAAAGAGGCTGAGAGATGGGGATGGAGGAGAGTAGGGCAGCAGAGGGGCTGGTGGACAGACACCTGCCCCAGGAGAGTGACAGCCGGTGTGTTCTAGTGCAGATGGAGTCTGAGGGGGCTGAGTGTCGATGGTTCCTACTTCCTCAGCTTCTTAAGATCACTCTACACATCACAGGCCTGGCATGCCCTGAGCTCCATCCTGGGGCCTAGTGAAGGCTCAGAGCAGGAGACACATTCTGCCCTCAAGAAATTTCTAGATTAACCTTTTGATAAGGTCTGAAGCCATGGAGACAGAACCAGGTATCTTCAGGGTTTTAGATTCTGTGACACAGAGGTGGTGGCCACTAGAGAAGATCACTGAGTACAGGTACAGGTGATAGATGAGGGGCACAGGACTGGCTGTGTGTCTGCTTTGGATGGCAGTGAGGTGGTCCTGGAGCCTCAGGAGGGCAGACCTGTCTCTTTGTGGAGTGGAGGTCTGGGGAACCCGCACTGGGAGGGAAGTTGTCCAGGAAGGAGGAGTAGGTGGGGGAAGAAGCACATGCCAGTGCTGGGAGTGACCTGAGCCCAGTGGTAGGAGTGTGGCAGTGAATTTGGGAAGGGACTCTGGCTGCTAAGCATGTGAAGGGTGGGGCTAAAAGACAGGTGTGCTGGCTAGTTTTAGGTCAACTTGGCAGGAATCATCAGAGAGGAGGGACCCTATGTCAGAAAATGGCTCCGTAAGAGGCTGAGCTGTAAGCCTATAGGGTATTTTCTTAATTAGTGATTGATGGGGGAGGGCCTAGCCCATCATGGTCCTGGGTTCAGTAAAAAAAAGTAGGCTGAGCAAGCCAGGAGGAGCAAGCCAATAAACATTCCTCCATGGCCTCTGCATCAGCTCCTGCCTCCAGGTTCCTGCCCTATTAGAGTTCCTTTCCTGACTTCCTTCAGTGATGGAGAATTTTGAAGTGTAGGCTGAATAAACCCTTTCCTCCCCAAGTTGGTTTGGTCATGGTGTTTCATCACAGCAACAGTAACTTTAACTAAGACAGCAGGATGACTTATTTGGGGGAGGATGCTATGGGGGGGGGGGACTGTGCTCCAGCCTGGCAGGGACAGAGGAGGACAAGTGGATCAGGCTGTGGGAATGGACTGGAAGAGGAGGAGTCGCATGGGTGCATGGAGACGGTTACCCTGTGACATATGATACTGGGTTTCCAGATGCTGGTTACCAGTGTGGGGCTGGCCTAGGGTTGGTTGGCTGGTGAGGGCAAAGAAGCAGGGAGCGGCGACCCTGGCACAAAACATCAGGCACCCTTGCATCGCAGCAGCATTTATTGAAACACAGATGGGGTCAACCCAGAAGGCAAAGGCACCCACAGACAGAACCGGAAAGTGGCCTCATAGTCCCCATCCCATCAGCTCTCCAGCGGGCAGTTCCCTTCTGCACAGGCAAGGAAGGCCTGGAACAAGTATGGAGTCCTTGAAATGTGTAAAGATGTCCTGAATAGCAAGACCTGTTCAAAGCTCCCAGCCAGGGGCTGTAGGTAGCAGAACTCCCCAGAGAGTAGACTTGTTTTCTGGGAGGCAACCCAAGGAGTCTGGCTGGAGCAGGTTGCCCCAAGGAAGGCAGTCAGTCAGGGAGATGAGCAAACACAACCAATGATAGGCAGGTGCTTGCTGCCTCTGAGGCCATGTACCTGGGGCCAGAAGTGGGAGCTGCTTGGTGAGGGTTCCCTCTGGTTCTTGGTTTTGGGGGGAATCACTGGGTGGTTAGGACTATGCCTTGACCTATGAAAGCCAAGCTTCATTGTCCAGCCACCCTAGGTGACTGGGAGTGTCCCAGAGGACTTGGTGAATGACACAAATCAATTATAGGTATTTGAAGACAGGTTGGAATTAAGGGAAGGCTTGGGAATAAGCTTCTAAAGTGAAGCCAGAGGAGAAACAACTTCCTAAAAGAAGGTGGAGGAAAGAGACCCTGAGCTCTTTTCTCTTACAGAACATCTGGACTATTCTGGAAGCAAGCACACATTTTCCATTCACACATCACTCCATTCAGGGGCAGAGAGGTGGCTCAGTTGGAGGTCCTGTTTCTAAGCAAAGCGCACTGAGCGGCTGCTCCCACAGCTGAAGCTGGAGGAGCGTGGCTGGCAAGGGGAGCAGGAGTCAGGGGCCATCACTGTGATGCTGCCCCCAGTGGCAGAGGGGCCAGAGGTAATCTGGCGGCCTGGGGTTGAGCCATATGTGAGGCCCCCACATGTGACTCCACCACGGGAGCTGCTGACACCTGTGGGAAGAGGAACAGGGAGGGATAAGGGGCTTGCTCAAGTGTCACCCACCTACCACAGGTCCCTGAGGGCTTCACATGCAGGGATCAGTGGTTAACAAGACAGGTTTTGTTCTTTCAACCTCACAGCACATCTGAGAGATATGGTGATTCCTGGACCCATTTCCCTGGACTGCAGTTTCTAGTGGCCACCAGCAAGGGGAGCTCAACTTTTTTTGAGCCTCCCTTACCCCCCAACTCTGCACTCCTCACTCCCCCACCTGCCACCTTCACCCCCTGCCCAGTAGTCCCTAGGGAGGAGCCTGGAGAAGAGGAAAGACTATGAGAATTGGGGAACACTGGAGGTTGGGTGGGGTTGGCCCATGGTGAAGCTTTGCCCATCCCCAGACCATTTTTCTAGGGGGCATTTCCAGCAGATACTTACAGACATTCACAGAGCCCACACCCTCGCACAGCCTAGGGAGAAAAGAAAGCATCATTAGTTCCAAGCAGGAGCTGGATTCCTTGAGACAGTTGCTTGGGGACAGACAAGGTCAGCTTTTATTCTAGGTTGGATCTATCTCCTGAGAGGCAGGAAGGGCTCCCCAAGTCTTCATGGAATATTCACTTTCTTTCTTTAAAGTGTCCCCCATCCACAGAGATCAGCCCATCCCCTCCCCCCTTTGTTTAAAGCAGCAGTGAGTGGAATTGTGACTTCCACACACTGCCTGCCATCAGGGTGCCTGAGCCTGCTGAATGCCAATAGTGCTCACAATAAGGATGAGGCAGAGCTACAGGGTACATCATCCTTATTGTACATGAGCCCACCTTCAAGGGAAGCTGCAAATGGGCTTTAGAAGCCCAGGACTGAGTGTTGGGTCTCAGCTCTGCAGCTTAATAATTTGGTATCTGTGGGGAAGGTGCTGAACATTGAGCCAACCCATCTCTGTTTTTAGATAGGATGGAGGATTATAAATGGGTGCTTGACACAGAGCATTGGATATATAATAGGTAACTATTATTACTGAAGTCTGGCCTGGAGTAGGCTGGTCAGAGCTGTGTATCACACTTGTGCCCAAGACTGTTCACTAGGATGACCATGCAGCAAGGACTGACAGGCCTTAGAAAGCTTGTTTGTTGGAGACAGTTTGGCCCTCAGATGGATCCCCACATGGCCCTCCTCAGCTCACCTGTGCTCCTCGCCCTCCAGCAGGCGCCTGTAGGTGGCGATCTCGATGTCCAGCCCCAGCTTGGAGTTCATCACCTCCTGGTACTCCTTGAGTAGGCAGGCCATGTCCTGCTTGGCCTTCTGCAGGGCAGCCTCCAGCTCAGCCAGCTTGCAGCGGGCATCGGTGAGGGCGGCCTCTCCCTGCTGCTCTGCCTCGGCCACAGCAGTTTCCAGCTTGGCACGCTTTGGGGTAGAGAGGGGGCATCTTGTTAGAACAAGATGGGGGTGGGATGGGGCACAGCTGGGCTCGTCCAAGTGTTTAGTGCCAGGGAAGAGAGAGCCCTTGTGAGGGTCCATGGCAGGTAGTTCGTAGAGCTGGCAACCCAAAGAGAAGATGGCTTTTCAGCACCCCTCCTTCCTGGTGGGCAATGGCTGAGGAAAGGTTGCATCTTTTAGAAGTCAGTGATCCTGCTCGTCGCAGCAGGATGTGGTATGACATGGGAAAATCCTGCCTTCCTTCAGGGTCCCTGCTTCCTCTCAGTCTTAATTAGAGACAGGCCATTTCATTCTCGTGGGCACAGTGCCTGGTGATGCTGCTTGTTGCCTGCCTGTGCTTACTGCACATCTGAGTTTGCCTCATGACCTACCTGGCACTTGGCGTTCTCAATCTCGGCCGTCAGCCTCTGGATGATGCGGTTCAGCTCATTGATCTCCTCCTTCGTGCGGCGCAGGGTCTCCCCGTGCCGGATCACCGTGGCCTTCATCTCCTCACACTGGAAGTTGAGGGTGGAGGGGGGACAGATGCTTATGAAGGAACATAGGACGCCTGTCCCCTCAGCCAATGAGTGTGCAGCATCTACAGTGCTCAGCATGGGCAATATTTACACATAGCAGCCCTGGCTGGCTACTCCAACCAGAGGTCAGTCAGCTTTTCTCTTACCAGTCCTGAGGGAAAGGAAACCTTTCCTAATAGACACCTTGCATGGCTCCCACAACCATGTCTAGGAGGCACTCACCTTGGTGCGGTACCACGACTCGGCCTCTGCCCGGCTGCGGCTGGCAACGTCGTCATACTGAGCCTTGATCTCAGCCACAACACAGTCCATGTTTAGGTCCCGGCTGTTGTCCATCTTGACGATGACGGAGGTGTCTGAGATGTGGGCTTGCAGAACTCGGATCTCCTGCAGAGTCAACAGGAAGAACATTATACTTGCTGCCCTGTTTGGGGCCTGGTGTCCCATTCTAGGGGCTGGGTTTATTCACTGGTGGAGCTCTGATGAGGAAGTCCTGCCTCTACCACCTTCATCCACACACGGGCACAATACAGAACAGCAGGGCTGGAAGCCTTAAACCTCACCCGAGATCAGTCTCTGAAAATGGGCCTGACCCGAAGTCCCAGGCAAAGGGGCCGGGTTTGAATGCTAAACAGTAACTAGTCCAGAGTGATCCTCCGTACATGGAATCCCCATATACCTTCACATCCACCTGTTGTCTAGCATGCAAACACACTCCAACATGCAGAGATGCCCACAGGCACAGAAGCCAAACACATACATGCATGATTATTCTTGTACATGTGAACACAGATGCACTGTAGATATGTACACCCAACACTCTACATCCTGTATCGTGGGGCCTTTTCATATGCATGGGGTGATATTTTTATCCATGTTATTGAGCGCCCACAGATCTAGGACCCTGAACCCCCACCCCATCTCCGCGTCCTCATTTCATCAGCCACGCCAGCACGCAAATACGTGTCTCTACCTCTTCGTAGAGGCGCTTCAGGAAGCTGGACTCCTCCACCAAGGCCTCCACGTTGGCCTCCAGGTCTGATTTCCGTAAGTAGGCGCAGTCCACGTCCTGATGGGGGTGGGGGGTGGGGGGGAGAGGAGGGAAGCACACGTGGTGGAAGGGACCGAGGGAAGGTCGTCTGGCCAACCTGGTGGCTGCCCGGAGGACGCAAAGGTGGCTCCCCTCCCTCCCTGTCCGGCGAGTGGACCCTTACCTTCTTCAAAACCACAAACTCGTTCTCTGCTGTTGCCCTCAGAGCCACCTCCTCTTCATACCTAGACGTGTGGGGAAGGACAGAGCTCAGGGTCCACACCTGGATCCCACCTCAGCTGGTAGCCGAGTTCTCCCAGGGGCCACGGAAGGGACTAAACCGTCCATGGTGGTGGTGGTGTGACTGAGTGTTTGTGTGATCTGTTTGTGGATTGCTCTTGGCTAGGTCTGTCTCCGCTTGGCTGCGTTCCAGGCCCTTTGCCTCTGAGGTGGGTTTCCGATTGCAGGCTCCACCCCATCATCCTGACAGCCCAGATTCCAAGAGCACTGTGCTGTGGAGGAGGGCCCTCGGCCCAGCACCCGGGTCAGGAAGGCTGCACTGGGACCCCGGTGTGGATTCCGACCCTCAGTTCCTGGAGCTGTTCTCAGGCACAGGACTTGTCCTGCTGCACACGCCCTCCCAGGCCCGGGAAGTCCTGGATTTCAGAGAAGCTGCAGCTGGAGGCTTCCCACCCACACGCCCTCTGAGATCCTGCGGGCATGCGCAGCACTCACTTCTTCTTGAAGCCCTCCATGGCCTCCTGCACGTGGTTGAGCTCAGCAGCCAGCCTCCCGCCATCCGCCTCCACACACTCAGCCTCCCTCCTCAGCGCCTCTATGTAACCGCCAAACAGCGGCTCCAGGTTGCTCTCGCAGCAGCGCTGGTTCTGGTAGAACTGCCACTTGGTCTCCAGCAGCTTGTTCTGCTGCTCCAGGAAGCGCACCTGCCATTCGGGGAGGAAGGACACTTAGTGGGAATTTAGGAAGTGTGTGTGTGTGTGTGTGTGTGTGTGTGTGTGTGTGTGTGTGTGTGCATGCAGTATGTGTGGTGTGTGTGTATGTGTATGTGTGTGCATGTGGTATGTGTGGGGTGTGTGTGTATGTGTATGTATGTGTATATGTGTGCATGCGATATGTGTGGGGTGTGTGTGTATGTGTATGTGTGTGTATATGTGTGCATGCGGTATGTGTGGGGTGTGTGTGTATGTGTATATGTGTGTATATGTGTGCATGTGGTATGTGTGGGGTGTGTGTGTATGTGTATGTGTGCATGTGGTATGTGTGGGGTGTGTGTGTATATGTGTGCATGTGGTATGTGTATGTGTGCATGTGGTATGTGTGGTGTGTGTGCATGTGGTATGTGTGGTGTGTATGTTGGTGCAAGTGATGTGTATGGTGTGTTTGTGTGTTGTGTGTGTATGTGGTGTGTGTGATTGGTGCATGTGTGTTTGTTATATTGTAAAAGTGTGGTGTGGTATGTGTGTATGTGTGTGTGATGTGTTTCGTGTATGTGTGTGGTATGTATTGTGTATATGTGTGTTTGTGTATGTGTTGTGTGTGCTGTGTTGCGTGTGTATATACTTGTGTGCATGTGTGTGTCATGTGTGTTGTGTGCTTTGCTGGGGCTCTCTGCCCTTTCATGTTGACTGAACAGCTCTGAACTTGGGCTCCAGCTCCAGCTCTGGGGCTGTAGGCGGGCAAGCTGCTGAGCCTCTTGGTGTTAGGCTTCTCATTCTGTGATGATAGTGCTACAGTTGTGAAGACTGAGCCAGTTCATACCTGTAAGTTGTTTAGAACAATCCCCGACATGCAGCAAGGACAGCGAGTCAATAAAGCCGTTCTAATTACTAGAGGTCCTTCAGTCGCTCTCTCCCAACAACGCATCTCCAGTATCCACTCTGTGGCACTCAGGCCTGTGCTAGGACTCCCACACACACATACACACATATGCAACCCCCATACCACATCTGTGTACACACACGACCATACCACACCACACACAAACACCACACATACACACACACTGCATACACACACCACATACACTGCATACACATACCACATACACAATACCATACCACACCCACACATATACTACATACACACACAGACCACAGCAAACCACACCGTACCACACATACACATATACCACACATCGCATACACACACATACACACTCACCATGCCACACACCACACACACTACACCACACCACACACATTCACTACATACACACACACATCAAACCACAGCACACAACTACACACACACATCACACAGCACCCAATGCACACACAAAACATCACACCATACCACACCCAACCCCACCCCACCGTGTGCACCACCACATGTACCCCCCACACCCACACAACTCCTATGACTATCTGTTTATGTCTGTGTTTAAATCTTGTTCTTTTTCTGTGTCCATGACTTTGTCTGTTTCTGTCTTTTCTATATCAACGTTTTTATGTCTTTGTCTCTAAATTTTTGTATCTGTGTCTGTGTGTCTGTCTATTCTATGTATTTGTGTCTGCCTATGTCTACGTCATTTGTCTATGAAGTTCATTCATTCATCATGATCCTGTGTGTGCGAGGCGCTGCTGGCTGTTTCCTCCACGTTGTGGACAGGCAAGCAGACTCCCGAGGGTGAAAGCACCAGCCCACACTGGTGGAGTGGTGTCTCAGTCCCCATCTGCGGCCTTCACTGGCCCACAGTGTGTCTGAGCGGTGCCCCAGCTCCCTCACCCCACTGCCATAGTAACACGGATATTAAGATCTACCCACGGGGTGACTTTCAGGATTTATTGAGAGCACTAAAGAAAAGCATCAGGAGTTCCAGGCTTCCTCCCCACAGCCCCTTGGGAGGCAGCTGCCCAGTTCTGGTGCTTTGCCAGCACTGATGGTGTCCTTCCAGGTGGGCCTCCTCCCTATCTCTCTTCCAGCCCCGAATCCTCACGTAAACCTACGAGGCAAGTCCTGCTCTTCAAGAGTGTAACGCTGGGCTGCCGCACGGGTGAGTGTCACAGCCAGCCCCTGAGGAAGGAGTGTGACCTGAGCAGTTATCCATGCGGCCTAGGCACAAGCCATGTGCCTTCTGTTTGTATTGTCCCCTCTCTTCTTCCCTCAGCCCTCAACCAGGCTTGCAGGCACACCCCTGCCTGTTTATATTGTCCTCACTCAGATACACACACATGTACACACACACACACACGCACACACACACACACACACACACACACACACAACCATAGACTCCACTTCTAAACTACATAATGAATTTTCCAAGTACCAAATGGAGGCATTTGTGGGTCTGCATTTCTTCCCCTCTCCTGTCCCTAACTTGGCAGCCAATTTGCCTTCCCAACAGACTGGGACCTTCCAAAGGGAAATCAGGGCTGAGGTCGGCTCTGAGCCTCGCAGGCCTCACTGACCTTGTCGATGAAGGCGGCAAACTTGCTGTTGAGACACTTGATCTGTTCCTTCTCCTCATGCTTCACACACTGAGCATTGGGGTCGATCTCCAGGTTGAGGGGCGTGAGCAGGCTCTCATTGACGGAGACTGTGGTGATGCAGGGGGGTGTGGGCCCGCAGACTCCTCCAGAGCGGTATCCGAAGCTGCGTCCACAGGAGCCGGAGCGGAAGCCTCCAACAGCCATGCGTGGCCCGCAGGGGCTCGGGTTACAGAGGCTGCGGCTGCTGAAGCCCGTCAATCCCCGGTAGCAGGACACTCCTCGGAAGGGGGCAGCGCTGATGCAGCAGCGGTTGCCAGTTTTGGGGGCCACAGCCGAGCAGGAGCTGAAGTTTCTGGTAACTCCACATCCTGGGCTGATCCTGTAGGAGCGACAGGACATGGTGTGAGCTGGACGGCGTCTAAGTGGCTGTGGGCTGGATGGCGTCTAAGTTTGGTGTGGGCTGCAGAGTGTGAGGCTTGGAATCCTTTAGGTCTCTCTGATCCTCTGCGGTCCTTTTATTGGTGGGGAGAGCTGGGGTTGGCCACGTAAAAGCAGTGAAAAGCCATTTTATGTGGTTTATGGGCTTGGGGAGGCTGCCAGCAACTCCCCAAGGACTCATCTTAAAGGTGAGCTCAGAGGCGACTTGGGCTCCGTAAAGGATTGAAGATGTTATTAGGGACACTGTGCTGCACTTTTCATCTTCAAAGCTCTTTACATACATTAAGTAATTAATTTTCACACAGTCTCTCTGAAATGGCCTCAACCAACACCCGGGGACGGATTTGAACTCCATAACAATCTGGGGGAGGCTAGGTTTGGGGTACCAGTTCAGGGCATGGAATCACTGGAGTTAGCTGAGACACAGGAAGACTCTGCTCTGTCCCCTGGCCCCATGCAGACATATCCTCATGTCCATCACTGTCCCTGGAGCAGCTTCACATGCCCAGCAGCTTGCCTGTGTCTAGGTGGGTCAGGACCAGAGGGGTCCTTTTGATCATGCCTTCTTAGGGACAGAGGGCTGGAGAAGACAGCCCCTTGGAACCGTCTGGATTCCAGCCCAGAGAACCGTGGTCCAGAGCCCATCTTTCTCACCCAGCAAAAGTGCAAACCACTGAAGTTTCAGTGGCCACATAATGACCACTTGTGGGTAATGGGGAGACTCCACTTCAGCCACTTTCTTCCATGTGGCCAAGACGGAAAGGTGTGCCCCACTTTAAGGAACCTGTGTTTGCATATCCGCTTGTTCTGAGCCCTTTCTATCTGCTCCTTAAGAAGAAACACGTCTTGTGAGTGTCTACCCCTTCCCAGACCATCGGCCAGGGCAGTAAACCTGTTCATAGACTGTCCCGAACTCGTCCCTTTCCGAGGTCTGTTTAGAACCTGCACTGAATGTACCAAGATGGGAGTGGAGTAGGGCTCACTCTTGTCAGAGGACCCTGGATTTCTGTCTCCTGGGGGCCTCTGGGAACCATGGCCTTCTAACATCCCTGTTACCTGTGTGTCCCTGGGCCACTTATTAGGATAATGATGCCATTCCTCTAATGTTTATGGATCACAAACACCAAGGATGTGGTCTCTGCCCCCAGGGAGGCTCTGCAGACACCTGAGGAATTAAGACCTTGAGGAAGGAGAGCCGGTGAGCTTGCCTAGAGACCGATCCTTTAGTCAGAACCAAATATTCCCATCTAAACACATGCTTTGCTCTCTGCCTTGGGTCTGCCTTCGTGTCCATGGCCCGCCGACCTCAGGTCTTCACCTGGCGTTAGGCAGAAGGCTAGATATCCTACATCCCACTCCGATTCATCAGGAGAGGTAGAGGGACTCTGGGTAGCTGGTGGGGGAAGCCCAGGTGCCCGCCCATCAGCTGGCTCTAAAGGACATTTCAACACTGGTCCACCCAGGGAAAGCAACAGAGATTAGCAACTCGGGTAGCTGAATCAAAGCTGTAAGACCGAGTTCAGCTTGGACCCTTTCTAGCCGTCTTTGAAAGTTCAACTCTCAGAAGTCTTTGTTGCCTTTCAGAATTCAATTCTACTCTTACCCTCCTTGTTGGTGGAGGCAAATGGTAAAGGCAGGAGACTGGGGCAGCATAAAGGTCTGTGCAAGAGGAGAGCATCTGCCTCCCGTTGGGAACATCCCACCCCACCCCAGCTGTGTGGGCCTGCTCTGGGGGCCCCACCCTTAGCTTTCGCCTCCTCTGCACCTTCATAACTCCTTTACCCTTTCAAGGCTAATGTTTCCTCGGCCTGATTTCACTCTTATAAAAACTTGGGGTGGAGCCTGGGGGTGGAGGGAGAGGCTGTTTGGGGGAGCACAGGGGATGACTCCTAGCCCTGTGCGGGGCCCTGCTGTGGGGGTGGGGGGTCCAGGCTGTGTATTCCAGGGCTTGGACAGGAACCTCATTGGCTATCTTTTGTGTAGACCTGGAGCTTGTGTTGAAGGCTGAGAACTGGGGGGAGCATGCTTGAAAGCCCCCTTGAACCCTGGGGTGCCTCCACCCTCCTCTCTGCCGCTGTTTGAGTCAGGTTCACCTCCTGCTGTCCTTGAGGCTACAGGAAGTCTTTGTCCTGAGGGACCCACATTCAGTCCTAGGCTTCCCCTTCACCAGTACACATGCAAATGTGTATGCATGTTCTCCATCATCACCCAGAACTGGCCTGGGCACCAGAGCTCCTGAAGGCCTGGGTGTCCACTGTTTCCAGGCAGAGCACCTGGGCCTGGACAGGCAGGGACAGAACATGGGTACAAGCTGCTCGGGTGTGCAAGATTAGAGGTCTTGAGGTGCAGGAAAGGATGGCTGTCTCTGCCCCCTGCCCCTGCAGCGCTGAGCCCCCCTGGCAGGCTGCTCAGGGAAGCGGCCCCCACAGAGCTCTGGTCGGATGGCCTGGGTAGATGACAAAGGGACCAGGGAGGCCAAATCCTCAGTGCTGACCAGAAGTCGCACAGAGCAAGGGAAACATGGGCAGGGCCAGGTCAGTCTGGGACAGCTGTCCTGGAGAGACCTGGGCACCTTCTGTGTGGGAGGGAGAGGGAACCCACCACTCCACACTGGTCTCTATCTATCACCCCAACACCCTGCTGGGGACACCCAGGGCCCTGACCAGGAGCTGTCCCAGGTCAGGAGCTTTGAGGACAGGTGTGAACAGGCCCTCGCAGTGTTCAGCCCTCACCTCGGAGTGTCGTCATTACACGGTACCCTTGTCTCTACCTCTAGGCCTTCTATGCAGTTACACCTTTGCCTGGAATGTTTCAGAGCAGCCGCCTCTTCCCGGAAGCCCTTGTGGACGACTCATTGGGAGAGAAGCTGTGATTTCTCTTCCTCTGCGCCTCATAAACTGCCTCTGTGGATGTCCCAGGTCACTCAGATCATGTCCCTCTGTGGCCTCTCGTACCCGATGATGTCATGCATCCTGCCTTTTAGTCCAGTTAATCTCCTGGTCTGACATCTTTTAGGACCCCGCCCAGTGTTAGAACTTCCGCTCAAGACTCCATGACTGTCGCTTGATTTGAAATGCTTCTCAGCGGCCCTTTCTAGGAAGCCTTCAAAAGCTAACTGAATGAAAAAGGCCCCTGACTACCTTGGAGTCCCCAGCTTCCGGGACGCTCTCTGAGTCACCTGTAAGTCCACAGAGCACACACCTGTGTTCTTCGGAAGCCGGCCACTCACACTTCCCTGCCCTGTTTGGCCCTCTTTGCCTTCTCTGTACCAAGGCTGGGTGCCCTGGGCCCGTCTGACCCTCCCCACACGAGGCCTCCCTGTCTCCCTTTCCTTTGGCTTTATCCTCTAGGCTTGGAATCCTCCGCTTGCCGGAAGCCTTCCTGGATTTATCCGAAGAAGGAGAGCACTTATACTTCTTTGGTCCTGCTCTGCTTGGCCCTGGAGGCACCTGCTGACTCCACCAGTTCTATATGTGTATCCGCCTGACTACCTTTTCATCCCAAGTATGGTCCAGGGCCCCTGGGGACATCTGGCTCACCCCAGGAATGGTTTTTTTTTTTTTAAAGAAAACTTTGCTGACCCACACTTTGACTATGATATCAAATCTGTGCCAAATGCTTGTGGCTGGAGCAGCTCTTTAAGGGGATTCTTGGCCCCCTGGCTCTTTCTCCAATGTTACAGATCTGGCCAGGTCTCAGAGACCAACGCAGGAGAGATAGGGAGCAGCTGGAGGAGGAACTGTCCCTCCCTGGGATATCACAGGCTTGTCGCTAAGCTCCCCCCCCTGCCCTGTCCCCACTCTTTCCTTGTGGTTTTCCCTCCAGAAACTCCAAGAGACCCATTCTCTCCCAAGCTGTCCTCACATGCTGTCCCCCCACTCCACAACCCATGTCCTTGAGTTCTCCCAACAGTGGCCTTGCCGGTCCTGCAGCTGCCCTGGTCAGAGCAGACACTCCGACAGCAGAGTCTCTAGTCTCGGAACTGGGCCACATAAGTGGTTCTCACAGTTTTACTTTCTTTTTATCAGTAGAAACATGTCCTAAATCTTAGGAAGAAGACGATAATATAATGCCTTGAAATCATTCCTGGGTTTCCATGGGAGATTGGTTCAGGAACCCTGAGGATAATAAAATCCAAAAAGTCCAAGTCCCTTCTGGAAGATGGTGTAGAATTTGCTTAGAGACAACACAGTCATCTTGAGCACTTTCAGTCATGTTTAGGTTAACCTCGGTATCTGATACAATGTAAATGCTGAATACATTGTCACACTGTAGTGTGTGGGAACAGGACGAGGAAAAACCCATAACATCCAGTGCAGGTGCAGTTTTCCCGGCTATGTTCGGCGGAACCATGGACCCAGAAAACAGCTGTGTGTTTACTTCTGTATTTAGCCAGAGAACAGACAAGCTTGCCACTGGCCTCCCTGCTGCTGCCCCCAGGCCCCCGGCTCCCAGAGACCGACCTACCCATCTTATGTTAGGTTGGATTATGCCACTTACCTGCTCTAATGTCCCGATGGCTCCTTATTGCATCCGGAGTCTGAAGAGCAGGTGACAAGGCCTCGCTCTGCCTGTCCCTTTGCCTCCTCACATGTCTCTTTCCTCAGCTCTCAGTACCTAAACTGGTCCTCGAAAGTGCCAGGCATGCTCTTGTCTCCGGGCTTCTGCACAGCGTCTTCTCTGCTCAGAGCTCTCTTCTTATCCATAAGGCTTACTCCATTTTTTTTGTGCCAAAACTTTTCTGATTCTTCTTTTTAAAATGGTAACCTGCCATTCTATCCTAGGGCTGCCTCCATCTGGCTTACCTTGCTCTGATTACTCTGTGCATGCGTGTGTGTGTGTGTGTGTGTGTGTGTGTGTGTGTGTGTGTGTGTGTTAGCACATACCTAAGTGTGAGTTTGTGGAGGCCAGAGGCCAACTTCAGTTATCTTCCTCAACTGTTCTCCATCTTATTTTTCTGA